AGTGCTTAGGGAAGTTCACGAGTGCGTGTCTAAAAGTGAAGTGGAATGCAGCCCAAGTCCTGATCTGAATCAAATGATTCGCGATCAGCGCTCCGAAGTTCCGGTCTGAATCAAAAGATTCTCGAACACGCTCCGAAGTCCTGATATGACTCAAATGATTGTGATCCGCTCTTCGAAGTTCTGATCTGAATCAAAAGATTCGCAAACCCGCTCCGAATTAATTCCTGATCTGAATCAAATGATTCGCGATCTGCCCTCCGAAGTTCCGATCTGAATCAAAAGATTCGCGAACCTGCTCCGAAGTCCTGATCTGAATCAAATGATTCGCGATCTGCGCTCCGAAGTCCTGATCTGAATCAAATGATTCGCGATCCGCTCTCCGAAGTTCCGATCTGAATCAAAAGATTCGCAAACCCGCTCTGAATTCCTAATCTGAATCAAAAGATTCGCAAACCCGCTCCGAAGTCCTGATCTGAATCAAATGATTCGTGATCTGCGCTTCGAAGTCCTGATCTGAATCAAATGATTCGCGATCCGCTCTCTGAAGTTCCGATCTGAATCAAAAGATTTGCGAACCCGCTCCGAAGTCCTGATCTGAATCAAATGATTTGCGATCTGCGCTCCGAAGTCCTGATCTGAATCAAATGATTCGCGATCCGCTCTCCGAAGTTCCGATCTGAATCAAAATATTCGCAAACCCGCTCCGAAGTCCTGATCTGAATCAAAGATTCGCAAACCCGCTCCGAAGTCCTGATCTGAATCAAATGATTCGCGATCCGCTCTCAGAATTTCCGATCTACTATCGGATTGTATTCACTTGGTCTGACAAAACTTGTAAACATTAGTAGTGTAGATTTATTTTTGAATGTCAATTTCCGTCTAGACAAACTTGTGACATGGTAACATTAATCCATTACACTAGAGTGTCTTTCAAATCTTTTTATTACTCAAATCTTATTTATTGAAAATAAAAGAACAGAATGAATCACCCTTCAAAAACAAAATCACAGATGCTTGAACCCATAAACCAGGACACACTTTCACCCGATCTCCGTTGGGTCCTTTGGGTTCTGCTGGAAATGCTGGTCTGAAGTTTCCTCTTAAAAACCCTAAAACTTGTGTGAATTTGTGTTTTCAGAGCTGTTTTCACAGTCACTCGCTCTACTGTTTCAAACCACAGATATGAATCAAACTGTTTTTGAAAAAAGTTACACACTGTTCACACTTTCAAAGTGTGAATTATTAGCTTTAAAAGCTAATAATTAAACAATAAAAATGTAAAATTAAAATACATTTTAAAATAAAAACCAATCAAAATAATATACTTACTTAAAATTAAATAATAAAAATATAAATACAATTTTTAAAAACAAGGACAATTAAAAAAAATTAAAATAAACATTAATTAAAATTAAATCATAAAAATAATTCTAAAAAATAAAATTAAATAATTTTAAATGAATAAATTAAATATCATAAAATGTTATATATTTAAAATAAAAGTTAAAAATAAAATTATATCACTATAAAACAATTTGAATAGCCCAGTTCTTTTAAATGTCAAAACATTTTAAATTAAAAAAGGGGAAAAAATATGAAAAATTTAATTTTAAGTACAATAAAAACAAAGTAATAAAACATATTAAAATTAAATAATTTTAAAATAAAAACAAATCAAAATAAACCATTACTAAAAATTAAACCATAATGTAAAATATTTTTAAAAAACATCCAAATAAAACTAATTTAATAGTACTTCTAAATTAAAACACATTTGAAAAACAAACACAACTAAAAATACTGCAATTTTAATTGAAAAAAAACAAAAAAAAACTAATTAAAATAAAACAAAAATATAAACATAAAATATTTTAAAAGCCTCAAAATAAAAAATATACAAAAATTTAAATATAAAAATAATTGTAAATAGAATAAAACTAAAAATAAATATATTTTATTTGAAAGAATGAATTACAATTCTAAGGTGAATATGAACTAAGATGATGGTGTATGAAAAAACTAAATGGCTAAATCACATTTAACTGAACCGCTTTGACACTCTTACTTGAATGTAATGCAGCAGAAATGACTGTAGATGCAGTTGTGAAGAAAATGAGCTCAAGAACACGCCGTTGAAAGTTCAGACGGGGCTCAAATGACATTCGTTTAACTTTAAGAGAATACAAATGCTGTCGTTCTCAACAGCAGGCGAGTCGCTCTTTCAGCAGCTCCATCATCAAAAAGCCAGCAAGACTCACAGATGGCGAGTGTGTGTCTGCATACGCTAAAGGACACGAGCGCTGAGGCGGGAGGAACGTCTCCGTGAATGACTCAGGAGCGCTCAACACCTGCTCGAGCCTGCGGGAACCCACCGGGGCCACGAGAAGGGCATGAGGACAGTCAGGAGCGATTTCGGCGCGACAGGTTCCTCATCAGCATCGCTGGAGGTCACCTTAAGGCTGATGATACAAGGGGCAACTTTTTGAGCAATGTTGCCATCAGTGGGCAACCAGGTGAGACACGGGGCCCACGACCGCTCTAAAGTATCCAGATAGAAATTTGTTACCCATTCTCAATGGGAAAGTGCTCAAGCAACAAAATTGGCAAAATTGCTCAAAAAGTTGCCCAGTGTATCATCAGCATAAGAGAAGATCCTGTAGAACTATAAAACGTTCACACTGTGGATAAACGCGGCGTCACTCCTCTTCTGAGCGTCTCATCGCGATTAGCTGCATGTTGATGCATCTCATGCTAAACTGTTCTCAATGGTTTCTTGTAGAACACAGAACTTCACATGCGGCTGCGTCCCAAATCACATTCTAATTCTACTACAACCTACAAGTGTGTACTTCACTGACGTTGGGAAAGAACATACTTTTGGGTGTGTAGTAACACATTAAGACACAATTCATTAAATCATAAAAATGTTCAATATTTTTAAGATCAAAAATAAAATAAATCATAAAGATGTCAAATTAAATAAATTTAAATTAAACAATAAAAACAAAACACTGAACATGAATCAAAATCATAAAAATAAAAAATAAAAAATAATAATTAAAATAACAAAATTAAAACACTTACTAAATTAAATTATAAAAATAAAAAATAAATTAAAAACAAAAATAAAAAACTGAACATCTTAAATCTTAATGTAAATAAAATACCATAATTAATTAAATGATAAAAATACACAAAATACATAGTTTTAAAAATTAAAATAAAATATTGACAAAAATTTAAATTAAAATTTATGATTAAAAAAATAAATAAATAAATAAAACACTTACTAAAAATAATATCATAAATGTAAAATTAATAAATGATTAAAATAAAAACAAAACACTTAGGAAAAATTAATTAAATCATAAAAATGCAAAATTAAAACAAATGATTAAAATAAAAACAAAAAACACTTACTAAAAATTAATTAAATCATAAAAGGCAAAATTAAAATAAAACAAAATTATCAAAATGAACCCTTACTAAAAAAAGATGATTGATTTGATTACCTGCATGTCATGTGGCCATTAACCAACATCATAGAACTGTGTTAATGCGAATGTGTTGTTAAACTATTGAAATACTAATTTATATTCTCTGAGCAATTCTTTAAGGTCAAAGGGGTTCGGCTGACAAAATGTTTTTGAATCTCTGGTTTAAAGAGTAAGATGTTTCTCATCTCAGCCATCGCTCACACCAATCCCAGACCCAACACCAGCGTATCAGGAGCTCTTCCTCACAGAGAAGATGAAGCATGAACATCAGCTGATCAGATTCCTCCTTTACTGTTCAAATGCACTTTCTGGACTCTGTGGATCTTGCTCATGAGTGTACATAAAGAGATGATCAATAATCAACTGCTTAACACAATAAAAGGAATAGAATTATAATAATAACAACAACAACAACAACACAATAATAATAAAACAACAATAGCAGCTGTAGAAACAACATTAACATATTAAGAGCAAAAGATCTTGAGAAAGTTTCCTCTTTGGTTTAGAAACGACCTCCATTCATTCTCAACTACACAAAACTACAGGAACTACTTCTTCTATTGCTTTAGACTGATTGAGTTCAACATCTCACATCCTTCATCCATGTTTTTGCTTTCATTTAGCTTTTTAAGTTATTTTTGAATTATTTGTGATGTTAAGTTAATTTAAATAAAGGTTCAGCAGCAAATGTAATGTTTAAATGGATCAAATTAGATCTTAATGTAAAATTAAAATAGGTAAATTTAACATAAAAAAAATTAAAAATAAAAACAAGCAGAATAAAACTTAATAAAAATGTAATAAAATTAAATAAAATATGCAAAATTGAAATACATGATTTTAAATTAAAACATAAAAAAAAAACAGCATAAAAAAAACTTACTAAAAATAATTAAATCATAAAACTGTGAAATTAAAATAAATAAATTATTAAGTTAAAAACATTATTCAGATTATTCAAAAGTCAGATTATTATTACAAAGCAGGCTTTAATTTAATTTAAAAATTAAGGTTTAAAAGCAAGTATAATATCAATAATGAAAGATATATTTATATAAAAAATCTAACGTATGAGACAAAGCAAGCTAAAATAAAGTTCATTTTAAAATTAACAACAGCAAATCTAATGTGTAAACAAATCAAAATGTATATATAAAAACAATTAAAAATAAAAAAGCATGTTTATCATTTGCAGCAAACTGCTGTACTGTTTTTCCCTCTTTGTGAAAATTAATGTTCTGTAAAATGCAATCCATTCAGGAAAATTATAATTATTATTCTTCAAGTGAAGAAAAGGTGAAGTCAGGATTCAGTCCCGTCATGATTTACACATGATACCAGATATTAAACAAAATTCAGATGTATTCAAAATTAAGGCAACTGAGATTTGTGTAAATTCCTATAAAACCAACATTTGACAGAAGAAAATCAACAGAATTCGATATCTTAATATCTGAGGAAGATCATCTGTGTTCTTCTAATCATTTATATATCCACGCAGTGTTTTCATATTTATGAACTCTCTGAAGAAGATTCAGTCCAGCAGACATAAAAAATCGTGAAATAAAGCTCATGATCTCATGAAGCGGCCCTGCGGGGTCCTTCAGTCCAGCTGGGAAATAAGTCAAGTCAGTGTTTTTGGTGCTGAGGTCACCTGGATGTTCATCATGTGTCTGTATTTTCAGTGCAGAGCGTCTGATCTCCATCAGAAGGCAACGCTGACGTACATTCACCTCTTCAGGATGCTATCTGAGAACAACACACAAAATCATCATCCATCACACCGAGATAGAAATGCATCTACAGTGCTCAAACGAAACTGTACATGCAAATGCAAATGCAAAAAAACCCCCCCAAAAAACATGAGCGTTTGTAAACTAAATTAACTAAATGAAACAATAATGCTTGTATCCGTTAGTTTTGCATTAGGTATTATGAACAGGTATTGTGAACTAACAATGAACAATACGTTTGCAGCATTTATTAATATATTAATAAAATATATTACAACATTCATATGAATGCATTAAAAAACAATATGTTTACAGCATTTATTGACACACACACACACACACACAAACACACACTCACTCACACACACACACACACACACACACACACACACACACACATATATATATATATATATATAAGGCCTGTAAGGTCATCATTAAATTCATTAATTAATGTAATATAGCATTTATTAATCTATATTATTAATGTTAATTTCTATATAATGTTACAATAGTAACATTTGTCACATTTCAAGTTACTATCTTTAATTAATTTAATAGTATATTTTTATACCTAGATTCCAAATGCATTAAATGACTCATTAGCTAATGCTAACGATTTTATTTCTGTTCTGACTATTAAAAAATATAAAAGGCCAGAAAGGTCATCAGGTTGTAAAGTGCATTAAATTAATTTGTTAATATATAATATAGTATTTATTTTACTAATATATAATATTAGTGTTAATTTCCACATTAAATATAAAAAATATATAAAATATAAATATAAAATAAAATAATTTAGCAGTATATTTTTAAACCTATATTAATGATTACCAATGCATTAACTCGTCATTAACAACTGTTAATTTTATTTTAGTTTTGACAAATAAAAATAAATAAATAAATAAATACAAATAAAAAGGATGTAAGGTCTTCAGGTCGAATGGTGGATTAAATTAATGAATTAATTGATAAATATATACTATTTATTTAAGGCCTACTATAAAGTCATCAGGTTGTGAGGTGAATGGAATGAGTTGGTTTTGTCCTTGTTTGTGAAGTTGACTGTAGGTAGATGTGAAGTATGTAGGGTGCAGTGCACAGGACGTAGTGCGCACTTGATCTGGTAGGAGCAGGGTTGAATATAGTCACTGGTTTCCATGGCGATCTGTTGCTGTGTTAAATGGACGTCCTGTGAAGAGGGAGCCACCGTCTGGAGAGGAACTTCTGTTACTACACTTATTATTATCATCATCATATTGACATACAATTTTCTTTTGCCTAAATTGTGCAGCCCTAGTATTTATAAAACTCATGAAATATGCATGACTTACCTCTACAGGAAGTGCTGACGGAGGGCCCGGTGTTAACTGATGGATGAATGTTCCTTGCATAGGGGCCACAGGAGCCGGAGCCGTTATATACTGAAACACAAACACACACAAATCAGCACTAGATAACACACACATGCAGTTCTCTCGCTGCACTGCAGAGGGCGCCGACTGATCGAGAGCTGCCAATCACGCTGTCCTGTGTGTGTGTGTAATGGATGGTTCACACACACACACACACACACACACACACACACACACACACTATAGTCCAGTATATATAGTATATAACAAGGCTGTAACCATGTCTTGAACATTGGAGGGGACAAACTTACAGTACATACACACAGACACACACATACATACATATACAGGTGTGCATTAACCCTAAAACTGGCAACGTATCCTGTGGGATACAAACATTAAAATCAAAATTAAAAGTCATGTTTTGAAAAAAAAATGATCAAGTTATATTATTTGTGTCCCAATAAGATGGAAAATAGCAATAAATAAATTTTCTGATGCCTCTTTATGGTCTTGCCATTTTTAGGGTTAAAACCGTTTAAAGTGCCCCTATTATTATGGATTTTTGAAAATGACCTTTCATGCAGTGTGTAATGTAGCTGTATGTGAATGTAAACAGTCTGCAAAGTTGTAAAGCTGAAAGTGCGTCTCTAAAAAAGAAAGAGTCAAGTCTGAATTGCTGAAACGAGTCGTTTTAAATTCAAATCCCATTTCCGTGAAGTTCAGACGTCACAAATTGTAACATTTGCATAATGCATAATAATAGGTTCTGCGAGGACATCCCGAGAAAACAACCCTTAAAAGCTGTAGCTGGTTCGTGTGGATAACGGAATGTCGAGAAGACGCTGTGCTCTGCGCTGTGAAAGTGAATTCGGTTTATTGTCACTTCCAAAATGAGGCTGTGAAGAATCAGTGGTTAAAATCTTTACTAAGAGACCACAGCAGTATAATCACAACTTTTAGCAGTGTTCTCGTCATTTCACTGATGACTGCTTCTCCACGAGTTCAACGCGGGATTCGTAAGCCTGTCTTTGAAAGATGGGTCAGTGCCCAGTTTGTTTGGAACAGTTTGCTCCTCCGAATCACAACCTGTAAGTATGATATTAATAATTGTTGCTTTAATGTTCTGTCGAGCGTGCAAAATATGTAGTTTTGTGTGTTGTGTAAACACTCAGTGCAGCTGTAGGTCTCCGGCTGACTCAGCTGTGGGCCTGCTATTGTGTAGAAATGTATCGATTAATACAGAATGTCTGTCGTTCTTATTACTTGCAGTCATGATGATAAAGGATGGAGCAATACGTTGGTTTACAAACTGCAGTTCTTTATCAGTACTCTACATCTGTGTTCGGCTAACGCATATACCATTATTGTTTGGGTCTTTACTAAGTAAGTGTAAAACATCTTTTCCCCCTCTGATTCTTTCTTATTAGAACAGAGTGGAGCACTATTATTATTATAATAGGATGTATTATTGATAAGCCGTATTCCAGTACTGGTGATGGGCGTTCTGTTTCAGACATGCGCTGTACGCAGTAGACCAATCACAACAGACTGGGTCATTGGACCAATCAGAGCAGAGTAACATTATGCAAAGGAGGGGTTCGGAAAGAGGAATCTTCGAACAAATCGTTAGAGTCGTTGAGAAATAAGGTAACTTTACACGCATGTTATAAGAAAATGAAAGTGGTTTTTGACCTTGCATGCATGTAAACCTGTTGGTGGGGAAATCTCCCTATACCAAATTATAAACATTTCAAATAGCATAATAGGGGCACTTTAATGCACAGGTAGTTCCAAGTGAGTTTAATCACTGTTCTATAATGATGTGGTGCTTTCATTGATGCACACACACACACACACACACGTCCATCGCACACAGAGATTGTGCAGCGCAGATTGGCCATTTTTAATTATTGGGGGGGGACTTGTCCCCTCAATGTATGGTGGTTATGGCCCTTGTATATAATGCAGTATATAGTCTGGTATACAGTCCAGCATGTAGTCTAGAATACAGTCTGGCATACAGTCATAACATACATGAACTGCTTTCATGCAAGTCCTGTAGTGAACATGCGTGAACATTCAAGTGAGCATTTCTATAGAGTGCTGGGCTCATCAGCATTTTACATCTGACATACTAAAAAGAACGTTAAAACTGAGAGTCTCTGATGCCGTTTGTTGTCTGAAAGGAAAGTGTGTGTTGTAGTTTGTTCACACACTTACACAGACGGGGCAGATGGTGTGTGTTTGATGACAGAGAGGGTTCGGCAGGGTGTCTTGAGACAGGATACGTGAACCAGTTTCCAAATGATCTTGTACACACACGCACACACACCCACACACAGGGCCGAGTACTCTAGCCCAATAATGTTGGGGGATCCAGTGGGGGCGGCAGTCATATTTCAGGGTGACCATGGCACTCTTTATCACAACCCTGCTAAAAGTGCCAGTACGTGCGCTCATTGGCGCCCCTTCAGCTGGTGGCGCCCTAGGCGACCGCCTAGCTCGCCTATGCCTAGAAACGGCCCTGCCCACACACCTTCCAAGTATTAACCCTAAACACTATGAACTATTTCTAGATGCAGAAATTGCTGTGAAGTACATTTTCTTTTCTCACAGCTCACAGACATGTGAGCCAATCCGGTATATTGTCCGGTATATAGTTGAGTATATAGTCATATTTGTAGTCTGGTATACAGTATAGTCTGGCATATAGTTGGGTATATACTCTGGTATACAGTCCAGTAAGTAGTTGTATATAGTTGATATAGTTGGTATATATTTGAGTACATAGTCTAGAATATAAGGCGGTGTATAGTCTGATATCTGGTATATAGGTTTTAATTTGGTACACAGTCTGGTATATAGCTGGATTTTTAGTCCAGCATACAGTTTGGTTTATAGTTGAGTATATAGTCTGTTATATATATATATTGATATATAGTCTGACTTTTAGTTTGGTATATATTCCAGTATATAGTCAGGTCTAGAATACAGGCAGTTATATAGTCTGGTATGTAGTTGTGTTTTTAGTTTAGTATATAGTCAGGTTTTAATCTGGTATATAGTCAGGTTTAGTCTGGTATGCATTCTTTTAGTCCAATAGAGTTTAGTATACAGTTCAGTATATAGTCTGTTATATAGTCCAGTATATAGTTCAGTATATAGTCTGTTATATAGTCCGGTATATAGATAAGTGTATAGTCTGTTATATAGGCTGGTATATATTTCAGTATATAGTCTGTTATATAGTCTGTTATATAGTCTGGTATATAGATCAGTGTATAGTCTGTTATATAGTGTGGTATATAGTTCAGTATATAGTCTGGTATACAGTCCGGTATACAGTCTTGCATATAGTTTATTATATAGTCTGTTATATAGTGTGGTATATAGTTCAGTATATAGTCTGTTATATAGGCTGGTATATATTTCAGTATATTGTCTGGTATATAGATCAGTGTATAGTCTGTTATATGGTTCAGTATATAGACCAGTATATAGTCTGTTACATAGTTCAGTATATAGTCTGTTATATAGTCTGGTATATAGTTCAG